GCGGGTGTCACAGTCCACTTTTCGTTATCGATCGATGTCGATTTTACCGATTTTTATCGATTTTTTCGCAGAGTTCACCTACAGGGCTAGGAGTTGGCACAGGGGGGGAAGTGAGCATGGGAATTCTGAATACAATATTAGTTTTCAGAATTATCGGTTACTTTTATTGATTTTCTCGATTTTTTGTAAATTTTGACATGCGAGGCTGAGATTTTGCACAGGGGGGTAATCGAGCATGCTGATTACGAACACAATATTAGTTTTCAGGATCGTCCATTACTTTTATCGATTTTATCGATTTTTTTGTAAAGTTTGACCTGCGGGACTGGGAGTTTGCACAGGGGGTAATCGAGCATGCAGATTACGAATACAATATTAGTTTTCAAGATCGTCCATTACTTTTATCGATTTTATCGATTTTTTGAAAATTTGAGCTAGGGGGCTGGAATTTGGCACAGGGGTGTAATCGAGCATGCTGATCACCTCCCTTGGGGATGATCAGCATGCTCGAATACCCCCCTGTGCCAACTCCCAGCCCCCTAGCTCCAACTTTGCAAAAAATCGATAAAATCGATAAAAGTAATCGATAATCCCGAAAACCAATATTGTATTCGGAATCCCCATGCTCGATTACCCCCCTGTGCGAACTCCCAGCCCCGTAGCTCAAACTTTGCAAAAAAATCGATAAAATCGATAAAAGTAATCGATAATCCTGAAAACCAATATTGTATTCGAAATCCCCATGCTCGATTACCCCCCTGTGCCAACTCCCAGCCCCGTAGCTCAAACTTTGCAAAAAAATCGATAAAATCGATAAAAGTAATCGATAATCCTGAAAACCAATATTGTATTCGGAATCCCCATGCTCGATTACCCCCCTGTGCCAACTCCCAGCCCCGTAGGTGAACTCAGCAAAAAAATCGATAAAAATCGATAAAATCGATATCGATCGATGACGAAAAGTAGCCTATGACACCCGCCGGGGCCCGTAGTGTATGTGTGCCAAGTTTGGTCCGGATCGGTTCAGAAATGGAATTTTCTATTCGGAACATACGTACACACATACATACAGACAGACATACATACATACATACAAACAGACATTCAGCTTTATATATAAGATGTCTGCATTATAAATAATATAATAATATAATTTGCATCAAAAATACCTTCCTCCCATATCCGGACTTTCGTAAAGCAGCCTTCTCAGAAATAAGTAGATCATTGCAAAACATTGATTGGTTCGATCCTTTCGAGGACTTGGCATCTGTTGATGATCTCTACTACTGCTTTTGTAAAACACTATACTCGACTTTTTCAAGATTTGTACCGTTTCGTTTCGAGCCTTTCGGACTAGAAAATTATCCTATACATATTCAAAATCTTCTTCACCAGAAATCTCGTCTATTTTCGCAGTTATCTGACCCCTTGACTGATGATAAGTATAGAAAAGTTTGTGCAGATATCAATCATCATACTAAGAAATTTTTAGCTAACCGAGAACGACGCCTCTCTAGACACAATTTCAAAGAGCTTTATAGATATCTCAGATTCAGGATGAAAGGTCAACAAAAAATTTCTAATTTGATAGATGAGCAAGGCAACGTTCTCATAGGTGACAGAGAGAAAGCAGAAGCGCTATGAAAATTTTTTGCCTGCTATTTCACCGAAAAAGAACCGATTCATGCAGGAACATATTACCACTTTACAACTACTCGCACATCGTCTTGCTGCCCAGATCTGTTCATTGATCCTACAAAAGTTTACGACATCTTGAAAAAACTCAAAGCCACAACGACCGCAGCATATGACGGAATTCCTCAAATTGTGTATCGCAGATGCGCTGGTGCTTGGCTTTGCCTCTGTCTATTATTTTCAATGCCTCTTTTTCTCTAGGTGTAGTGCCTGCCATTTGGAAGGAGGCACTAGTAACAGCTATTCCTAAACGAGAGCATAGTAGTGCCCTCTCCAATTTCCGCCCAATCAGCATAACTGCAACATCCGGAAAAATACTCGAAAAGATTATAAAAAACGTCCTGTTTGAATGGTTGCAAGTCAACGATATTTTGCCGGCAGCCCAAATGGGCTTCCTCCCTGGGGGGTCCACTACCGCATTACTCACGGATTCCGTTTTTAATTGGATAAGTGCTTTGAACGTTGGCAAATCTGTTGGTATTATATTCTTTGATTTATCCAAGGCATTTGACAGAGTTGATCATTCTAAACTACTATCCAAACTTGAGAATTTCGGAATCCGCGGACAACTGCTATCTTGGTTTGGGTCTTACCTACATGACAGAGGCATGACGGTTCGTGTAGGGACCGAATTCTCAAGCAGATTTCCATGCAGCAGTGGGGTACCCCAATGCGGCATACTTTCGCCTCTCCTTTTCCTCATGTACACAGCGGATTTACCATCCTATCTTCAGACTCATCCCAACATCAAGGTGCAAATTTTTGCAGATGACATGAAGATTTATTTTTGCTATTCTGATGAACAACAATTTGAAGCACATGAAGCCATTAATTCATCTATACAACAAATGATCGCATGGTCTAAAATTTGGAAGCTTCCTGTTAATGCTTTGAAATCAAAAGTGATGCACCTTGGTAATGCACCATACCATGCCTATACATGTGAGGGTGTTGAGTTAGAATTATGCAGTGATACTAGGGACCTAGAGTTTTTGTCGATAACCAACTAAATTTTTCTCTTCACTGTAATTCGGTCTCCAAAAAAGCGCTGGCCGTGCTTTTTGTTTTATTCCGAAGTATTCATAACAATGATGCAGGACTTTTTGTAAGGCTATATAAAACATATGTTTTGCCACTTTTGGAATACGCATCCCCTGTTTGGAATCCATTCAAAAAAAGGACATCGAGAAGCTAGAAAGAGTACAAAGAGTATTCACTAAAGTCGTTTTCTACAGCTATCCCAAAAGCGATTATCCTCAATCACTACCAGCGTACAGATCGAGATTATCTGCTTTGGGATTGCGAAGTCTACTGTACCGAAGAATATGTAATGATCTGATATTTTGTTTCCGTGTCATCAAACTAGAAACGCGATTAAAACCAAGTAGATACTGGGTCTTCAGGCCTTGTGGGATGCGAATTGGAAGGCTCTGTTTGGGTTACCGTAAATTGGGAAGCAGAGTCCTTTCTAAAGCTTTTAACTCCTTTGTGTGCCGAACGGCTAGATGGCTAAGTCTCCTGCCTAAGGAAATAACTACTTGTACGAGCTCTGCAAGATTTCCACAAGAGACTAGCCACGATTAACGTTTTGCAATCATTGAATATCGCTGATGTTACCTAAAAATTCACGCATCTATGTGACTCAGACTAGTACCTTTTTTCACCCAAATGGTAAATTACATAATGTTCTGATTGATTTTATACCTCTATATTTTGGGCGATCATAGTGTGCTTTCCTCGCGTCGAGTAGCCGTTTGAGGAGACCAAAAGTTGGTGAGCCCCTCTTCCTTGGGGTCCCCCCTCTCCTCTCGCCCGGGGTCCTTGACGGATTCGTCCGCCCTAGGTTAAGTCGGTCAGCCGAGCCCCGGTGTTTGTGACCTCATTTAGTAGCGTTTGGAGTAGGGAACAAGATCTCGGAAAATGACCCTCACCTTCTGAAGAAGGAGAACGACTGAACGCCTCGCAGGGACTGTTACGACTACGACACCGGATCAGAGCATTACATTTCTTCTTTCTGTGGTGTTTGTATTGTGTTTTTTGCTGCTCTTTTTTCGTTTTTTTGCAGTTTTGAGTTTTTGGTTGAGTTTTTGAGTTTTTGGAACACCAGTGATTGTATTACATAAATAAATAAATAAACATAAATTTGGATGCGAGGGGATGTTTCTCAGCCGGCTTGTCGCATGCCCTTCTTTGGAAGGGCAGCCTGACGCTGGAACTGTGGGCAGAATTTTGCCGCAGAAATGGCTCAGGGTGGAATCGAACCCGTGACCTTCACGGTAATGTTACGTAGAGCACTAACCACTAGTAACTCTGCTCCTCAATTAGATTTACATGCTACTTGAAAACAGAGAAGCACAAATTTCAAGATTTTTGGACAACGTTTTGAGTTTCTTATTGTTAGTTGCAGAATCAATATTAGAATTCAGTTTTGTCTGAACAGTGCTTTCAAACACGCCCTTCATGATCATGTCGTTAACAACTTTTGTTTCCAGATTGAGCGTCTGTGATGGACCTGGCAAGCAGTTCGCGTCAACAGATGTTCGCTGACTTCTTCTCGCTATTTGGAAACTTCCCAGGATTTTCAGCTACAGCTGTACCTATCCCATACAAATGCTCTCTTTGAAAAAAGCTAATAAATCTGATTTTCTCGACTACTTAATCAAGATTTGACCACTTCAACGCACAGCCAGCACAGTTGAAAAGTACAAACGTGTAGGCTAGGAGGCCTTAACGAAAATAAAATATTTTGTTCGCCGAATCGTCTTACCTTATTCCACCGATGAGATAGTATTATTCAATAATTCCCTTTATCGAGGTCCAATCGCGATACCCAGCTAACAATAAGTATTCAGCTATTTAAGAGCATAGTATTAATTCTGCCAGTTGAAATTCTAGCGGTTGTGCAAAGGCTATTCGAAAGCACGTATGCTTTAAATCCCAAGAAAAAAAGTTACAGTAGCCTATTATGTGTTACCTGAATCACGAATGCTTCTGTGTAATATCTTCTGCATGACGAAGGCGGTTGCCCAAATAGGTTTTAGGCTGTCGCGCACGCGGCGCGGGGGCAGTTGTCAACCATCGGGCGCGCGCAAACTCGGTCAGCGGTCATCCAGTGGAGCGCGCGCGCTCCGTAACTGACAATTGCCCGCGAGCCGCGTGCGCGACAGCCTTCAACCTATTTGGGCGGCCGCCTTCGTCATGCAGATATTAAATGCGCTGATGTAGCTCGAACCATCAAGCGGAACTTCACTCGCGAAAAGTCGCCCTTGTGTTCCGCAGTTTAGAAAAGTTAAAATCTTTATTTTTTTTTTGACAAGTTTAACTAACGTTTACTAACATGAATCAAACTATTCACAAATTCACATGTTTTAAGATGAAAACGTTATGGCTAAGGAACACTGACTTTGAAAGCAATAAGATTCACAGATGAAGAAAATTAAGAAGGACAATTTTTCAAATATAGGACATCAAAGTTCAGTCGCGTCCAAATCGTGGACACTATCTTTGGCACTGGTTGACTCGAACTGACCATTGAGTAGGGGTGCAACCTCGGGTGGCGTCATCGCCACATCGCGGAGGTACCGATGGCCCAAGGCCGCCTTTGCTGTTATTCGAGATTCAGGATGATACCGTAGCATTTCCTGAATTTGCCCAAGATACCACAGATTGAAGAGTAGTAAGATGTTTAGAGATAAGTCTGCAGACGCGGAGCAAGGCCGAGCAAAATGGCCATGAAGGCTCGAGCCACTAGAGCTCTACACTTTTATGCAAACAGCCTCTATGACGGGATTTTGTTAGACAGTAGATCATGAAATGATACAGAGGCTATACGAAAGCTCTACCGTTCTGGGAATACGTCTAAACATACAAAGAAAGGGAACAAAATTGTGCTTGTTAGTCTTCTCAGTAAGATGATAAGTACGCATTTTCGAGCTGTATAGATTTTCCATATCGTTCTAGCACCTTCTGGTATTAGCAGGTTATGGATAGCTAGAGAACGTAGCGAAACTGCAAGATCGAATTTCTATGGCCATATTCATCAGCAGAAAAACTGGGTAATGTATTGGCTAATGGGTAAACCACTGGGTAGGCTAACCCATTAACTTTGTGAATACTGACTGTAGTTAGACTACATTTGGATAAGCGGTCTCACTAGTTCCGTTAATGAATCTGGCCACTGAACTCTGCTACACTTGAATCAGAGCTATATCAGCCAAGATGACAAATCGCCAACACAAAAAGAGAAGAGTACTGCAACACAATGTAACAAAAGTGCACAAAACATGAACAAGACTTACCCTGAGGAGGTCTACTCCATCTTCGCTCATGGGAGATGTAGCAGCAAGAAGTGCTTCTTCGTTATATGACCATTTTGGGAATGATTTCTTGTAGTCCTGCAGCTTTTCCACCCCAGGCCATCTCTATGAATCATACTTGTTACCTCCATTTTACTTGGTTTAAAAAAAACTCACCTCAGAAGTAGGCGTTCCCAAGATTTTGAATATCCGGAACAACTGATCTATCTCAGAGTCTCCGGCAAACAAAGGCGCACCCGCTACCATTTCAGAAAATATACATCCTAGGCTCCATACATCTATCGCAGTTGAGTAATAACGTCCTCCCAATAAGATCTACAAGAGATAATGATAGTAGGCGCGAGTAAAGCAATCGCTTACCTCCGGGGCTCTGTACCACAAAGTGACGACTTCATGAGTGTAAACACGACTAGGAATTGAGAAGTTCCTGAAAATGCGACAAAACAACTCCTTGTCTTCCTTATAATTTTGAGCTGCTGTCTGGTGTTGGTGCATCTGGGCATGTCAGAAATCAAGCAGAACATATAGATACACTTTTGCGAAGCCCTACATATGTGTTTCATCATCGAATGAACTAGAAATCATTATCGACTGTCTAAATGAGTAAAGACGCAGAAGCAAAATCTTTGGCAGTTGAGTGCTTGAAGTTTCTTTCTCATGTTTCAAGGCACTGCGGAGTAGATCTGGGTATCCCCCCTCCAAACATTCGTCCGACACCGTACCCGAGAGTGCTCTTATTCAACCGAAAATTGTGCGGTACTACTTGGCAGAAGTTTGGCTAATTGTAAGTTTCAAGACCATAAGCGAATGATATCATCATTGCCTATAAGTTTATCACATAAGAGAAATTATCACGAAATATACTCAGATTTGCCTGGGTAACTGTTCCGAGTGCACTGGTGACATAAAATTGTGAATCGTATCCAAATTCTCCGGATTAATACAACGAAAGCGAAATGACCTTTGTGATGATTTTACAAAAGATCATCTTCAATGTGTATATCTAAACATAATTGGTTATTCTGCTTCTGGCTAGCTATTAGCTGAATATTTGACAATACCGATCACATCAACATTACGTGCTCGAGGTGTTTAGAAATCTATCGCCACGCTGTCACTCATCTATATGCTCACATTATTTAACTTTAAGTGTTTTGAGAATTAGCCATGCAATGTCAACACCGCTTACGCGTTCACGGATGGATTGGAATCATCAAAATGCACGATACGCTCACTTAAGTGCCTTCTGTTGTGTTGCTCGTCACAGCAAACCTACTACCACAGCCAGCTATTCCAAACTCAGCCTATACATTCATCCTCGGCCAGAAAGTTCTCCTCCAAATTTGTCCAGTACCGTGACCGAGAAGAGTATGCTGCTTATCCGGTCCGAAAAAGTGCTGTACTGAGCAAAAGGGAATTATGATACATCCCCCACAATTGCTCCCATAGGTATGATCGGCTCTATTCGTGTGGAGGCGAATTTCGGACTTCCCTGATTTTAAGGATAAGCTTAACGAAAGAGTGCGAAATACAATGCTAACGTGGAGATTTAACGAATTCATCCTGAAAATCAGGGAAGTCGGCAGCCCGCCTTCACACGAATCTGGGAGCCGATAATACCATTAAGTGGTTGCCTTTCAATCGTTCACGTTAGCTCCGGCAAATTCGAGACGCTTATTCGAACTTGACATGTTGAAACGATCGAAAGGCAGCCATGTTAATAGTACCTATGGGAACAATTCTGGGGGATGCGCGATAAATTTCAAGACCATGGGAGGATCATATCAGTTATTGCCTGCAGTATTACCACATAAGAAGCTCAGGTATACTTTGAATTGCCTAGGTATCTTGATAACATTCGTTCAAAAAAGATTAAAGTCAGTTCATAAATTCACGATTTCGAAATATAGCGGATGAAATGACTTAAACGTTTGAGATTAACTGATGAAAAGTTTGAGATAAATGAGAGCGCTAACCGTGCAAGTCCAAAATCGGCTAATTTGATGACCCCACTGTCATCCACAAGAAGATTTTGAGGCTTCAGATCCCTATGCAAAACCCTTCGAGTATGACAGTAGGCTAGAGCTTGTAGAAGTTGCCATAGGAAACTCTAAAATAGAAAATTTAATGCACACAAAGTTTTGCAAATTTTTCAAACGCTGATGAATGAAGAAAAAGATTCCACTAATCACTACCTTTGCATGCTTCATAGGCAACCTCTTCCCTGGTAATTTGTCCAAAAGGCTCTTCAAATCCCTATCAATAAACTCAAATACCAAATAGAGCTGCATTCCTGAAAGGTATTCTTTTAAAACAGGAAAGAGTTCAGTAAAGATATAAAAAAGCACTTACCTGAATGTATAACGTCATAGAGTCGAACGATATTCCGGTGATTCAAATCCTTCAACAAACAAATTTCCCGTATACATGTGCTGGGAACTCCTTCGTTGTCTCTAAATATCGTTTTTAACTATATTATACTTAAGGAATATTATTCATCTGTGAAAAACCTTTCCAAGCTGATCTTCTTCAAGGCTACATGCTTTCCCGTTCTTTTGTGCACTCCTTTGAAAACCACTCCATAAGTTCCTTCGCCGATTTTATGTAAGTCGGCAAATTTGGCCAGATCACCGGTGGGAACAGTTTTGTGCATCGGTCACTGGAAATATGTTATGAGAGGAACTGCAGAGAAATATTGAAAGCAACCAAAAATGTCCATTTTCGAGTTCTAATGTCCTTTTTGGACTTAGAATTTGATATATGGACTTAAATCAATGAGAAAAGTGAGATAATGAACTTACTGTCACGGATTCTCTCCTTCAATATCAGTGAGCCCAAAAAACACGTCGTGGTAGAAAAAACCAAATATTCGCGCTTTCACAAATTCAAATGCGCTCATCGAGTAAACATGCTCTAATGCAAAGAAATCTTATTGCTATTATAGCGCATTATTTATCCGCATCCAAAAACTGCTCTCACGTGTGATTTCCATCACTTTTCCTTTTTTCAAGCAGAGATTGATAGCGAACTCTACTACGCACTCACCTGATGCTTTACAGTTGTATGATGAGAAATGTGCCGTGACGTCATCAAGCGCTATTCATTTCTAGTTATGGCCAACTTTGGAAAATCTTCTTATGATGTGTATATATTTCAGTTTGTCATCTTATGCAGCTGTACAGGGGTCAGAAGATCTCTTCGTACCTTTTATCAAGAGAGGAGAATCGCAGGCAATTTCTTACCGAAGACTTATCACGGTGGTATGAAGTAGAGGTGCGCTGTTTTAGTTGTTTTTATTGTTTTGGTGTGCTCTGTCTTTAATTTCAATTTGATTTGGTATATATGTTTTTTCTGTTTTTGATTTGTCACTTTTATTTACCTTATTTCAAATACCTTTTGCGTTTTCCAACAATTATGATCGGGAGACGGTCAAAAGACGCGCTTTATCTGTCTATAACTCGAAATTCAAGAGTCTCTGAATTTTTCAAATTTAGCCGAGAAAGTGCATTGGCTTACTAGCTATCTAAAGTCACCACTTGCTGTTGACGTTTTGCTGAAATATTGATCGCGTTGTTTACAAATCTGCTGATGGTTGCATTCTCATCGGTTGCCCTTTACCGTTTCTGTTTCATTCAATTTAGGATAAGACTCAGGAGCTCAAGCCAATGCCTGATTTAATTTGTTTGAAATCTCAAACTTCAAAATGTTGTAGAACATTAAATATATGCTATTTGATCCTCATTTGGCAATAAAAATTGCCCCTCTAGCACACTCCGCAGTGCGCTTTTTATATCAGTCAGGTAAAAGCGAGGTTTTTGTTTCTCAACCAAATCATTGTGAGTGCTCAAAATACTTTGCTTCGAATCTTAGCGTACAGGTTTAACCTATTCCTATCACTGACCTCGCCTACTCTGTTCGTCATTAGGTGAAACCGTAAGCGCCCAAACTTCTCCAACCTCTCCTCACTCTCTCCTATCTCCTCACACGAGAAAGTGAAGAGACAACAGAGAAATTTAGGCCCTTTTGGGCGCTTTTGAGCGAAGTCTGGCCAGGGCTTCTTGGGATAGTTTTCCGACACAACTGGTGTTGACCAACTATCACAAAATGCAAAGTGATCGACATGCAGTGGACTCGTAGCAGTTGCCTTGTCAGTAGAATCGCGAGGCGACGAAATGCGTGAACTATGCCCGAGGCCTCAAATATTCTAACATACTTTCCTCTTCTCCACATCATTTATCTGAAATTTATTACATATGATATTGTCATCCCACATGCCATGCTTTTCCTGTCATCCATACGCTGAAAAATCTGTGCAATTTAGACCCAGCTACTCTCACCTTTGTTACAAAGTACCTTTTCGAAATCTGACCTTGATTTGGAAACGGAACAATTTCTTGGTAATTCGTTTGCTATAAGTGGCTCGCTTTGCTTACAGGTATTTTTTTCCATCTATATCTATTTATGATAAAAAAACTTCACAGACTTCAGAATGACACTTCTTCAGATTTGGTATGCGTTTATGTCAGCCATATTATCAACATTCCTCTCTAAAACTAGTATTAATGGCCTATTAAATCGAGGAAAGATGTTTGTTTTCTCGACGGATCGTATTAACTCCTTTTTGGATATCCCTCCAGAGTGGATCTCTGCGGACAAGAAGGTGAAAAACGCGTTTTGACATTTTACTGGATTATATCATGTGTTTCAACAGACGTGATTAAGCTTCTTGATTTGGGCGCTGGAGATGGTGCTATCACAGCCAAATTATCTGGTATATATGGAACCATTTACACTACGGAAATGTCACAGGTTTGTACTATCATTATCTGTTCTACAGTTATCTCATCCGTTTTTTGATCTACCTAGAGATGATTCTGAATTCTCCATTTTCTTCGTTCAGTAGGGAAAGTTGCATAATTTAAATAACATTATCATATCAATCGGGGACAATTGGCGTAGTGGTATGAGGCGCCGCTATGACCAGACCGGACGCAGGTTCGATCCTCGCCCTTGGGTCAACCAAGCCCTCTACCCTGCTGTAAATTGGTCGGAGTAAACTGGGAGGATGAAAGCATGACTTGGTAATCGACTAACCCCTGCAAGTCATTGTATAGGCTCGAACGCATACAGTTGCCTCTTCGACTATGAAGTAGTGTGCGTTCGGCGCATGCCCGCGGAGGATATTGAAGACGCCGAATCCTTTATCCCTTTTATTTTATCATATCAATCGTGATGCTGTTTGTTGTTTAAACGTCGTTGATAAATGTGACATATGATTGCTGACATGAATTTTCCTGGCGGGATCTTTATAGCGTATTTCCACCTTTACTACTCACCTTTACCTTACTCCTTACCTTTACTTCCACCTTTACTATATGTAAATTTTAGGTCATGCAATGGCGCCTTCGTCAACAACACTTTCTAGAAGAAGATGTTGAGAAATGGAGTTCAACTTCTCGTCAATATAATTTGATATCCGCTTTGAATCTACTAGATAGGTTTGTGCATGTTCCAGTTTCCTCCTCTATTCTGAGACTGGCTTTTCATGCATGACCCTTCATTTTTTTCATCTAAACCTTAGCACTATGTTGCAGACACTACAACCCTAGAAAACTTCTGGCAGATCTCCATGATACAGCTTTGCGCTCAAATTGCTATGTTCTTATGGCCGTAGTTCTCCCGCTTCATCAGTTTGTTGAGTTTCGTCCGTCAGGATCAGGCTCACGGAGTGGTAAGTTCCATAGCGTTTCGTATTACCCTTTCCGAATTGTTTTTTCTTCTCAGATACGTGGTTGAACGTAAAAGGCAGATCCTACGAAGAGCATGCATCATCTTTGGTCGAGAATGAATTTATCCCTGCTGGGTTTGAAGTCGTTAAGTGGACGAAATTACCTTATCTTTGTGAAGGAGATTTCACCAGGGTGGGTTCCCTATCGTCACAATGCTATCGTATGGTACATTCTTGTTTAGCCCTACTATGTGCTTAGCGATGCACTTTTCCTGTTGCGGCCGATCCCCACCGCAAAAACGTCAAACCATTCAGATTCGACAAATATAATCCACAACGAGTTCTGACTTACAAATACTACCACTCGCAAATGTCGCTTTTTATCGTCATTTTGCTTCTGATTTCTTTCACTATCTCTATCGCCGCCTCGTGTCATATTTTTTTCAACATCTCTCCACTTCACCACTCGATTTTCTACGTTACTCACCTGAGGACCCTTAAAGGCATCGGCTCGACAGATTTTCAGCTTCGGGATTTTGGCAGATTTGGGGCTATTCCGGCCCCCTGAATCATGAAATGAACTCCCCTTAGCGCTAAAATGGGGGAAACCGCGTCTTTTGAAACCCCCTTGAGACGGGCGCGGACGAGTGAGCCATTTTTGTGCCGTCAGAGACGCAGAGTAAGGAGGTAGAGAGCCCTAGAACAGTTCTGCAGTACGAAGCTACGAGTGACGGCGCGTTTTCTAGCGGCGAACATACTCGTCCGCACAAGGTGTTAGGGGAGCGGAGCTTGGCTCGCCCCCTGGCTTGCAGAATTCACATTTTCGGCCCCGAGTTGCTCTTTTGGTTCATTTGGAGGGCCTCCTATCCATCTATGTCAAATTCTGAGGTAGGTCTATTCTGCCGAGCCGCTGCCTTTAAAGTCTCTCCTGCAATCCTGTCCACTGGATGGGATTGCAAGGGAAACTTTGTTCTAGAAGTTTCTCAAAGCTAAAAATTGGCAATGTGAGAGGACTATGGCAACTCACAGCCGCTGATTTCGAGGCAGTACGACGAGGCCTCTGACCAAGCAGTTGTCCTCCGCTGCAAAAGAATTATCCCGAAGCGAGAAATTCGTGTCAGCAGGTGGACTGCTAGGGTCCTACGCGCACCAAGATAGGTGATCTAGAAGTATATTAGTAATTTCAAACGGAACTCCAGAATACCTGGAAATGTCGAGAATGTGTATTTCACGATGAAAGGCGGATTTTCGACATTATAGGTACTATTAATTAGCTTCTGGCTCATTATTCTTAGGCTACTTACGTCTATGGGCGTGGCGACCCCACTTGCATCCATTTTTTAGCTTTGGAGTACACCTTTTCGGTACTTGGGTAGTTATTCGGTTAGGGGTCTCGCTATTGCACTGCATCAAAACTTCACCGCTCTCATCCTTGAGTTGACGGTGGCTCCAAGTGGGGGGAGGTGGGAGGGGGATCGTTCATCTATGACGCCATTTGGCATTGGATTTTTTTTACTACTGTGTGACTTCACATATTACAAGTATACACGATTCATGACACGCAAAGACTGGGCGCCGTTGCGTCCGGCCAAAATAGTTCGTGCATGGAAGAGACAGCAGATGGTAAGAGAAACGAAAGAGCGCTCGATCAGAGAGACGCCGATAGGTCCGCAATCTTTGCGTGCTATGAATCGGCCAAACCTGCATTTTTCAGGTTGTGCACATCTCCATGGTGACATAAAATGAGTGGTAAGACCTAAATTGTGCATAGATCAATTTTTGTCGTGATAGTATCCGACTTCGCAAGTCTAAGATATATTATGCAAATCCATCTGCTAAGACAGCGAGCGTACGATAGTCCACAGTTCTCACCAGATTTGGTTATTTAGTTTTCATGTGAGTATCGAAGAGGTTGAAAAGATGCGGATATGCGAAGATGGGTTCAATGCGTCTCAAATCCGGAGCGCGTTACATTTGTGGAGTTATTAGCGAAAAGTTTGAGTGGAACTGCGATACCGGAAGCTCCTCAGAATCTCTTTCTCAGTACTAGCATTTCTTTTAGTCTTATTACGTTTTGTGCTACGTTTTATCTTTTACAGTGTAATATGGTTGTGATTCAGCATGTTTACGGATATTCTATGTGCCTTTTGAAGGTTCTGTATTTCATATCTGGTGTTTATGTAAGAGGTTTCTCAAAGTCCTTTTATTTTTTAAAATGGATAGGCAGTCATGTTGTGATATTGGTCATAAAGTTTTTTGGTGCCAGCCTGTGTCCTTCGTTGTGTTGTTTACAAGAAAGTAACGAAGAGGAAATCTTAGCAGGATTCAAATGATTTTACTTTTGAGTTTCTTATTATTCTCAGAAAAATGTTGATAAACTATATAATGATGAGAGCATTCATGCATGAGAGCAGTGGATAATGAAGATAGATAGATAATAATGCACTTTTTATCATCGACCTCTTTTATCTCTTTCTTTTCGCGATTTTGATGTATATAGGTAGCCATGGCGTACCTAGGATATTTCCGTTCGGGGAAAGGGGGGGGGGAAGAAGTCAAAGATTTTTTCGGATGCTTCTTAAGGTTTTTGTGGGTCCGTAACCCCGAAATTGAAGGAAAGCGGGAGTGGCGATGGCCACGTCTCCGAAAATTCTTCTATGCTAATTTGAATGTTCAAAACTCTCAGAAGTCATCTTTATCTATTATACAAGTTAAACAAGAGACTTGTACATTTTTGAAACACTAAGTAATTTTCAAAAATTACCAAGAGGGGACCTCCGTCCCCCCCCCTCAATACGCCGCTGGTACGCTTTGATTCAACTGGTTTGGCTTCTGAAAAACGGGGTTTCGCGACTTAGTTGAGACTAGATAATGGCCAGAGAACAAGCGCTCGAGAGAGACGCAGACTCGTCGCGGGCGCAAGCGGCCTCAGTCAGGTCACAAAGCCCCGCCTTCCAATAGCCAAGCCAAGTGAATCAAAGGGTAGGTAGATTTGCTATTTCAACACATAAATATGCATAATTTCTCTTTCCTTTATCTCAAATGTCCATTGGTACGGAACGGAGAAAGTGGATGGAAAAAAGAAAAAAGGCGATTGGAGAGGTCATTTAATTGGAACAGGCCTTCTATAATAGCTTGATAGTTATTTTAGAAGATGGTTGTTCTATCAACTAGGAACAGAAGTTATAAGGGAATAAGGTAAAAACGCTTGGTGCAATACCACTCGAGTACTTTGCAAAAAAGAAGAGCGATTTCAGTGGTAATCGCTTAGAAAAAGTATGAATACAGTTTTTGACCATTTTTCTTCTTAAACCTATCTAACCTGAAGGAGGAGTTATTATTCTTCCAAGGTAATTATTCTTCGCAAAAAAAAAAGAATTTTTCATTCAGAACTGGTGGAACAAATTTCTCAGGAAGCAGTTTGTCTAAATATCAGACAATAATTTGTTAGTAATTTTGGGAGTGTTTAGAACCGAAAACAATTCTCCTAGTTAGTTGCACATTTGCGTTTTATTGATATCTGATGACCATTGATGCAATTCTTGTGTTCACTTACGCAAGATGGCGCATCCTACCGTATACTTACCGAATCTGGCTGCGATGGTACGATATAAGAAGAGTAATTGAGCGATGCAAAGTGAAGATTTTCTTTTTGTTTCGCAAACAGCGGGCTGTCCCATATAGCATGTTTGAATCGCCATTCTGAGCATCAAAGGATGATTTTGCAAAAATTTGTGAGGGCGATTGTTGGGGCCAAATAACCTGCGCTTTGTTAAATCATTCTGACGGCACCTATGAAGCTTACAACAAATAACAATGATTTCCAGGTTTATCTTACTACAGGTTGTAATTATAGTCTAATAAAGAAGGATGGTAACAAAGGCTTTTAACTAGAACAGCGCAAAAACGAGGTAGGTATTCTTCCTATTACGGCGTCAACTTCGAGACTTGCGCGATCACTTCAAAATCATCTCGCTCCCTAAAGGTGAATCATTAAGATGAAGATTCCTTTTACGGAACGAGGTCAGCAGACAAAGTTCGAAAACGCCACAGAAATTAGGATGAGAAGAGGATTGCGGTGACCATGACCTAGTCTCGTCCACATTTCCACACATCAGAACACGGAACGCCACAAAAGGTGTGATGATCTCTGCTTTACTTGTCGTTTTTCTTCTTAAAGGTAGGGAATTACTCTTTTGATTGTTATGGAAATTTTCAATCTGAGTCAATTTGAATTCAAATTATCTTATTTTCTGCATTTCTTTCAGGAATAGCGGCTGAGGAGCAACAGGAGGAGGAGAAACCTAGTGAATGCTTGAAAAAATGCATTGGTCCGATTGCAAAGATTGAAAGAAGCTTTGAGTATTTGTTTAATCATTATGAAAAAGTAAGTGTTGATTTATTTTTTTTTGTTCAAGCAAAAAATTCAAAAATTTTTTTACCCAATCGCTACTTTTTCCCATTTCTAATTCTTTTCAAAATAAGCTATTTTTATATAAAAAAATTCTGTTTGCCCTCTAGTCTTGACTTTCTCATCTTCTATGCAGAACAGCATTTTTTTGGTAATATCCTTGTATCATATTAAACCCAGTGATGAATACAAGGGGTATGACAAAAGGCGCTCTTCCCCCCCCCCCCTCCCTCTCCCACTGCTCTCACAAGGAAATGGTCAGAAGTGGAAGTGGCCAATCCATACAAGCTGCATACCATTGAATGCAGTATAAAGTGCTGACTCTAAATCTGTCTTCCTTATCTGCAGAGCGCTTTTGTGGACGAAATTATAAGCCGTTGAAGGCCATCATTTTGCTAAGAAATTGTGCACGTAAAATGCAAACTTGGCCGTACAAAGCCATTCTCGGCTCAGTGTAGGACCAAAACATGCAACTAGGTCAGTTTATATGACCCGTACCTAGATGTGAGCTGAAACAGCAATAATGCGCCTAATTTCGCAATTTCTGTATACGGTTTTTTCGCAGTAAAGCTGCTCATAACTTCGCCTACAAAGGCGCTCTGCAGATAAGGAAGGCAGATTTGAAATCAGCGTTCTATGCTGCATCGAATGGTATATAGCTTGTTTGGATTGGCCACTTCGACTTCTGACCATTCCCTTGTCAGTTCACCATCATCACAAATGGTCCCAGAAATTCTGAAAGAGGTCTGAATAAGCAAATTTGTGTGAGTAACTCTTTGCCGTTGATGATCTCAAAACTATCATTTTTCGCAAATGTCAATATTTTTTCCATGTTTTCCGGAACTTGTCTGGAATAAGTGATGATGTGCAAAACTTGTTTTTTCTGCTGATGATTTGCACAATCTTTGGAACCACGGAAAATCAGCTGGACCCCTAGGCAATCCTAGTCATATTTTTGATTTACGCCTAGGAAACTCTTCGCTTTCCTTTTTTCCTTCCAGTTGTTTCCATTGTTCTGAACATATTCTGTACTAAATTGTCCCTTGTCCTCGTTTTTCGCTCTAATATAAATTAGCTGTCTTCCGCCTATAAGTTATTTTTCTTTGTAATTTATAGGTAGTTTATTTGTGTAATTTATTACATGTTTTTCAATGTAATTTATCACAGGTCTGCGACACACTAGAAACAGGAGCGTTTTGTGCTCGAAAATGCGAAAGAAAAGATGTCGAGAAATTCCATCAATTTACCACTTTTTATCGGGTACATTGTGTGGATTATGAAGAAGGTGAGCGAAGTGGATTTGAAACATTTCGATTTTTTTGGTTGGTTCTCCTTCTAAAATCTTCTTGATTTGCCGCAAAATTTCAATTTATGTTATTTTGGTGAGGTTTTTAAAAACATTTGGTTTTTGAAGAAGCAAATGCAGAATGAATGTAGTATGTTACTTTGCATACAAAAATTGGTAGCTGGCTAGTAACCTTGATTTTTATGACAGTTTTGAAATTTTCAGCATTTTGGTCCAATAGAAATGTGTAAATGTCGAGGTTTGTTTTCTCACGAAAAATGGTTTTCCGGACGGAATGGGTACCTTTGTAAGATTTTGCTATAAATATTAATAATTAAATATTCAAGTCCCTTGACTACGTTTGTGAATTTTTTTGCTGAAAGAGAGATAAGTGCTTCTCAGCGTAGGTATAAGTGCATTGCCATTTGCTTTCTAATACGCTGTCATATGATAGGTTACCTGAGTGGCTTAATGTCTCTCGCTGCACTTTTCTCCGTTTGAACGGACAATTAGATCATTTATTGGAGCGTAAATCGGCGTCAGAATGGCGATAAAAATCGCAGACGTTGTACTTGTGCAAGAAAAGAACCATGATTAGTTGTGCTGATTGAAGACATTTCTTCTGCTTTTAAAAGTAAAACAATTCCATCTTTTCTACATTATCTGGGAAGTAAAGAATTTAGTATGTTTTGGATAGAAGAGAATTTTTTGCAGAAAACTTTACTTAATGCAAAAGAAATCAAAGAAGTTTTGTAAAGATGGAGCGTATAATTATCAGGTTGAAACCTAGTTCTTGCACCTTTTTTGATTGAATGCTACGTTCAGGAACTTCTGATTCAACTTTTGATCTAGGACGTAAGCCTTTTCCTAGAAAAATAAAAATTAAAAGAGAAACAAGTAAATTTGCCTTTTCAAAAAGTTTTGACCTCAAAATTCCTTTTTTCGAATCTTTTTTTGCTCAGAAATGAAATTTGTAATGCTTATAATAACAAGCCAAATGTATTGTATACGGAAATTATTTCACAGATTGAAAAGCACTCCAGTATTTTCAAATTAACTTTTGGAATTTTGAGCGACTTACCTATTTTCCATCCCAAATTTCGTCTCGTCTGCTAGAGAACCAGTAATTTCAAAGGTGCGAATTCGCAGACGCACTCGCTTCGGGACCCGCTCAGTTTCCCGCTATCTGATGATATTTGAATGCACCTTACGGTTCTTTATATATTAAATATATATATTAACCTTGAAACAGGATCTTTTAAGCAACAATTTTATACACACTTGTTAGAAGGGAAAATTATGTTGAAACTTCCAACTTCAAATTCTGAGAATGCTAAATTTTTTTTGCACTGCGTCTGACAACATTTGAAGAAAACTTTCCAAGCTTGAGCGCACAAGCATTTGTTTTAGAGGTTCTTTACCAAGATATGCATTCGAGCAAATTTACATCTTTTTCAGATCTTGAACCTCATCTACCTTGCCTAGCAAAGGTTGCAAAAGAAGCTGATCAGGGTGAGATCCTCACAGTGGAAAATAAATTTCAAGTTCTCCAGAAGTTTGATTTTAGTGTGCAGAGACAGATGTCACAAGGCCTACAAAGTCGAAAAGACAGATGAAAAGGAAAAACAGATGAAGAAGAGTTGTCTGTAAGTTCAATGTTCTCTTTCAATATCGTATCTAGGATTTTCAAAGCGACAATGTCATTTTTTGAAGGCATGTTCACTGAATGGCCGTCAAATCGTTTTGACTGTGGTAGAAATTTTGATGCATTGTGTAATATAATTTTGGGAAGTCAGAGCATGTTCATAAGCGAACTTTCTTGAAGATATCGACAATGCGTCGCTGCGGCGGGCGGTCGAATAATGCCAGGAAAAAAATCAATAATAAGCTGACCAAATTTCATCCCGGCCGCCAGCTGCTGATCAAAAGGTTTTTGAAAAATCATAAATCTGCGTAGACGCCTGTTTTCCTTTTTTAGAATAAAAATAACCAATGAATTTTTACAAAAAAAATTCAGTCTCATATTAGAGATGTTATGTGGCATGGCTCCTGCCACGCCCTGTTCAGAATTTATGACAGGGCTAGAAAGAAAATGTGAAGAGCCTCAAAAATATGGAGATTTTTTCCTAAAAATATGGAGGTTTTGAAATCTAGGTCGCAGTAACCTAACAGTCCAGACGGTTTCAGAAATTTGACGCTGAATTTTTTTGCATTTCAATTCGGTAGGGGCTGTTTCTTCTGATATCTGTTATTCTAGGAACTTGGAATGTTCCACAGTTTGCTACTTCCAAGAATTCTCTGAGGAATGTCCAGAAGCTAAAGATGCCCTACTGGTAAGTCATACATTTCCTCTTTATCCAAATTTTTATGATCTCAAAAATTTTACCTTTTTAGAAACTCAACATTGGGCAAATTCATTCACTGGCGCTTACGATTCATCCGATTTCATTCGAGCGAATGACGCAAGAATGCAGAAATGTGCACGATACCGACCATATGAAGAAGAAGATGTTGGGACTGGAGGATTGAGCTATTATAGTTAAATTCCGGGTTGTAATCAATGAATTTGTATCACATAATAAATATGTAATGGTGACTGCGCCCCATCAACTGTAGGCTCCGCCCACAAATATAAGTATGCCCCATAAGGTCCATGTCAAATACAGTCATCCTCGTCTCGACGTCACTTGTGTAATTGCACCACGTTGTGACTTTGCACCTGCCCGATGAATTAGCAGTCTGATCATGTATCCTATGTGCGATTGCACACACTGTGCACATTGCGCGTCCTACTGTGTATTGGGCCATTTTGCAATTGTGTGAAGATTTTTGGTTGATGCCTCTCTCAGTTCCAGATGACTAAATTAGGAAAAAGGAGCAAGAAGCACCGATGGTAAGGAATGCGTCACTGATGATAACGAAATTGGGGACACGACGCACGGTGTGTGCATCGTGTGCGATTACACATATTAGGATAAGACGTTACTGAAGTATAGACTAGGTCGCCGTTTTTTTCACTTTTGCAAGTGTTTTCTTTTCATTTCGCCTACTTTCACGTCATGATGGTTGACTATGGACAGCTAACGGCTTGATTCACTGCGGATTCCAAAAGTGTGCAACTACAGAAAGTGCTTGTTGATTGGAGACAAGTATATACTTGCATGTAATTCTGCAGATATGCATCCTACCTTTCTAAAAATATATTCTTCCCTTTCCATAATACCCAAGGACTACCGCAATCATAACGCAGGCTCGAATACCCGAAGCTGCTTGCTCCTCGCCCCCGAAATTCAAATCAGTTTGCTTCATCTATTTGCTGAAGCGCGAGGCAAACAATTATGTTGCCGGAGAGGATTCACTTATGAGATTGATTGACAGCAGAGCAACACAACACGAGTGAAAAAGTCTATATGGGTAGATAAAAAACATTCTTTCCCCAATTTCGAAAACTGAGCCACGCAAGTTAAGTGCGAAATCACTCTTATCCTCCTCTTTATTAGGGAATTGTAGCCCTAAAGGTAAATTATTTTCCAAAAAAAATTTGAAAATTTACCTATGAGATGGTGACAAATTGAAAAAAATTAATTTTACAGAAAAATTGCATAATGAAATTGAATCAAGTCTTGTTAACAATTTTCTGAAAATTTTCCCTTCGTACATTATGTTTTATTGAACTGCATTCTTTGCGTTAATGGAAGTAATAGGAAATGACGGAAAACTAATGTCTTCCAGAAGTTCAAAAATAGACTGTCTTACTAAATAAATCAACTGCCGTCCTTGAAATGTTTATTTAAAGATACCGCTTGACTCACGACCGCTCCCTGAGCCTTGTGTTGTTTCTGAAGACAAACAAGCTCGCGCCACCTGCAACAGATGGTTTGCGCCTCTGAAAACCTGATGTTTGAGCTACGAAAATGAATGCAGCACGTAAAGTAGTGGAAACGAAATCAAATCATTTGTTACTAGTAGAACTCAAGAAAAATACAGAAAATTCGATTAGATAGTATTCTAATTGTTTACATTGATTGTCTTGTTACCACACTGAATTATTTTATATTTTTAAAAAATCATTCGTTGGCTTACATATATGGATAGGGTACAATCTGCCCCAATCGGGATCAGGCCGAACCGCTGACTGGGTTTGCGCGCTCGCAACGCTAGGGGTCTGCGCTGCATATGCGCGCTGTCGCAGAGAGCGAAGAAGTTGGGGAGAGAGCAGACTGGCTAGCCGTAGACGTGACACAATCCCTCGCGACACAGGTTCCCGCCATGCCAATTTTGGCGCGATTTGCTTATATGGGCATCCGCCTTCATGTGCGATATAGACTAAACAAATGAAAATAAAAAGACCTCGTGAATTCTTTGATAGAGTGTAGTATTATGCATTTGCTCGGCGACGAAAAATATTGGTTTATCTTGTACAATAAGGGAAGAAAGCTTTGAAGAAAAAAGCCTATGGTGACAAAAACTTGAATTCACAAAATTTCAGGATTTCTGGCAAGCTAGTTCTAATTATTTATCTTCAAATAGTTTCTTGCGAATATTAAGGATCATTTTCTTAGAGACTCTCCTACCTTATCCATTCTCTGAACTCCCTTGGGGTGTAGTATTTACCACTCATTAGAAGTGTGTCATATTAGGTTTATATCATCTTTAGTAATACAGTGACCTCTTTGGGCGGAAATTGGACTGGCGGGAATTCGCCTCACAACAGCTCGCGCCTTTTCGCAGCTACAGTATAACCCATCGTACTGAGAACCGAGGTCTGCATCTCTTTCTCCTCAGTCTTATTTTGGCAAAATGCCACCGCTATGCGCCCGCGTAGTCCCTAGCAGTGCGCACACGCCGCTCCTCGTGGAATGTTCCGCCTAATCCGGGATGAAACCGACTGTATCTATACCATTACAATCAATAAAACAAATTATTATGAAATTTTAAGCTCAAATGATATTCCTTTGCGTCTACAAGCAATGAATCACTACTGCAAAACTGGAAATTTCTTGATTTGTCGAAGTTGTTTGAAGTTGAATGCAGGGAAAAACTGTGCTTACAGCTGATGTTCTTTTACTTGACAAATTTGGTCATGTCTTTACTGGAGAACGTCACGGAAAACGCATTAATCGTTTGTGGTTTTTTCGTAATGATTTATGGCTCAAAAGATAGGAATTGCGATGACTCATCCGACAGCTGTGTCTTTTTCTTCTTTCACCGTTCAGAAAGAGGTGAGAAATATAAACAAAGCAATGACGTGACGAGATCGTGAAACGCATGCCCGCGACCACCCGTTCCAATTTCTCGAAACATTTTCTCCACTCAGACGCTCGTCTCGTGACTCGTGATATATTCTAGTAGTAGTATTAGAAGCGCATTGTATAGTATATTCGTTCACCGCACGGACTGGACGTCACTACGGAGCACGCGCCGCGAGGTAGAACGCTTGCCCCAGTACAAATTCAACATCATACAAATCGTGCTCTCGCAACATTTTAGCCGTGCCGCGCGTGATCCACAGCGTTTGAGCAGTCCGTGCGGCCAAGGAATCAGCGATACACAGATTTTTCCTTATAGATCACTTAGTGGAGTTTTGAAATACAAACGAGGTCTTGAGATAACTACAGACTGATTGACGCTCAAACCGTTTCTATGATGATTCAGAGAGCACTTTCAGGTGCATTGAAATAAAAATTTGAGAAAAAGGTAAACAACAGTGCTTCTGCGGTGCCAGCAACATTTGCGCGTAAAACTGCCCTCCATTAGTATTTCGAGGTCTACGCTCCACGGCGAATTTCTGCGCACACAAAAACACTATACCAACTAAAAAGCACTTCTTGAGGACACTATCAAGCTGATTCATATGACTGAAAGGGGTTTATCTACCCACATTGAGTATGAACCTACGGTGAGCGTAATCCAGTCATTGAGGATTACCTTTCAAAATTCTCTAGGTCCTCCAGCTATCTCAGCCACCCATGAGTGTAAATTAACAAATACCATATAATACTGACTCGCACCAGTGCATTATCACAGCCATCAGAACCGCGCCGCTGCAACGTACGCAGCGCGTGCATTGCCTGCGTTTTGATTTATTTATAACTGTGATCATCAGTGATAAGAACAGGTACTCTTTGTCCTACAAACCTTGAAACTTCCAGTGATGCTGCTCTCATGAATCTTGCACATGTCAGCTCTCACGTCAAACAACGCTCCAAAGCTAACCAGCCGCTAAATTTTTCGTCCAAATTTTACATCGCGGCATTTCTTCGTTGTTTCCTTCCTCGTTTTTACTTTTTTGCTTTCTCGAAGGAACTAAATCGTATGCTTGGTGTCCAATCTCATGGTCAAAGCTTATACGTGCTTATTTTCATAGCTGTCTTCTGTTGTTTTGTGCTATTCGCACCTGTCGTAATCAATTTTGCTCCCATATGAGTCCATTCATTGTAACGGCTGCTTGCCTATTATTCCAAATTTAATCCAAGTTTTTTTCTGAGTGAAGCTGTGTGGTAGAGGCTTAAAAATTTGCTCTTCTCCGCGTTGGGTACTGCATCTGGAATCTTTTGCTGTTTTCTATTGAAGAATCGATGTATTTTTGTTAACTGCTTATTTTCTAGAAATAATTTTCATTGATTGACAGACATTCAGCTGCCACTGTTCGGTTTGAGCAATTACTGAGTTTTGTCCGAAGCTTTTGATAGTGGCGGACCTACACTGTAAATATCTCATCATTCTATCTAAATCCATTCTTTTTGTCCGAACAGCGTTCATACAATTTTCAATTTAATTATATAAGCAACAGGTCTCATCGGATGAATCGAAGTGATGACAAAAATAACCTTATCATCTTCTTTCTTACAGACTAGGTCAACAAAACATCATCGTGTGTGAATTTTTACAACATCACTGTCGCGTTTCCGGTCCATTTTACACGCTGCCTGCTCCATTAATTTTGACAGGTCGGTGCTATTTTATCCTTTCTGGAACACTTGTCGCTATCAATGTCTGCCGACAGAATGATCGAATATAAAAGTGCATCTGTGTGTCTATTTACGTCCAGTCCATTATCGGTGTGGCTCTCTCCCAGTGAAGCCACTTGTTTTCCTCCAGGTGATTGAATTTGTTTTTGCAAATTGTTTGCTGACGAGCTGGGTGGGTGCTGAAGCCATGATAGTTTTCTTTACATTCTTCACATTTAATTTATGAGTATGGTGAGAATATCCATGTTTATATTACACAGATGCGCCTCGTACTTGTGAAAAGGATACTTAATGTTTTTCGTTTTTTGTTGTTTTTCCTTATATTCGTTTCCCAGGGGTTACCAACGTAGCAATAAATAGCATTTTAGTAAAGAATATTCGAGTTTTTGAAACTGCTTGAGCTGCACACTGGGATTAGTATCTTCTTTATCTGACTGGCGTCTCGGCTCTATCGTCTTCTTCAGAGTCTCGAATTGTCGAATGCATAGTTGATCTATCCCATCAAAAACCACATCAGGACTCCGACGAGACTTCCAATGCGTCGGTAAACCAAAACTTTATAAACATATAAAGTTACTGCCCAGAATCAGCGTAGCTATACGGTCGATTTGAGGCAGTCGACTTCATACGTTTGTAGCTCTCGGTTTTCCGATGCATTGGAAGTCTTTTGTGAGTCCTGTTGGGATTTTGGAGGGGATAGATTATTTATGCAGTCGACAATCTCGGATTCTGAAGGAGGTGATATACACGAGATGTCAGTAAGATTAAGGAGATACCATTCCGGTATGCGGATCAAGCCCAAAAGCAGTTTCACAATGCGATTGAGCGGCGATCGAAGTTGGATGGTATCCGAGCATTTTTTATCTTCCTATCCTCACTATTGCCACGTTTTTCTGGCTACTTGGTGATTTTTACAGCTAAAAAGGAAAGTTCATTTACAGATTTCTCTTAATTCAGTATCTTGCGGTGTGGTAGTGTAAGATATGTCTCTGAAATAGTTACCCAACGGAAGTTACACATTGGGCGTGACAGTTGTGCTGGTCGGAACTGGAAACGACCAACCAACCATCTGCTTTCTTTATTGTTTTCTGGCTTACCCAGATGTCTTCGCTCTTTTTTTCTTGGAGTATTTCTAGTGTAGTGAACGAAAGAGTCAGTGACCAAGTCCTTTCTTGGTATACTCTAAGAACCGTTGACGGATGAGGGGCAAGTTTTGAAACTTGTTCTCCTTTTTGGATAGGCTACTCAACCCTGAATAATCTCTATGGTCAGTTTGTCCGAGTTTGTTGCTGAATTTTTCCGCTTTATATGCGGCCTTTATCCTCTTTGATGCTCTTTGTATATTTTACACTTGCCCTCTTGCTTATGCGTTTGGACTCCCATTAGTTCTCATAGAATTTCGTAGTATGCCCTTTCAGCACACAAACTTTCACCCCGCCTATGTTCTTTGCCACTCATCCATGTCCTAATAACTTGGTTGCCTGCCTTTTGTATATCTCTCATTTTTTTCTTTCTCTCCAAGCTTACTTCAAAGGCTCAGAAGTTGCGTATGCAGATAGAGTTTGTGTCCTCTTCGACCTCTACGAACCGCCGCATTCACTTAAACAATTCTAAGCGGTCACATCTTATACTTTGCTGTCTTCCGTTCAAACTTATATTTTGTTCATGAAACTATATGCATTTAGAATAATTTCCTCGCAGCATCTGGTCCTGGATGGAGCAGCATAATGCAAACCAGGTCGACGGCAAACCCATAACCAACGTAGGTTAAATTTTCTTTCCAAGTGTTGTTTTCCATATTATTTTATTATGTGCAAGTTCTTTATCCCATTTGCTCAGAAAACCAGTTGATTTTTTGAAGTTTTTCGTCCTTGAAGTGCAGTTACTCTTTTACTTCCTTGTGGTATCATTTCTTCTCTCTGAAATGTTGAAGTAATGCGCCATGTCACACATAAGTTGATTGGTATTGGCACATTTACTTTCAATGGTAACATCTATCATTTTTTGCACATAATGGTAAAGTGGCAGAGGGGTCTTTTGATCTGACACACCGTTTTATCTTATCTAAACGATTATATGTTTGCAAAACGCTTCCACAGCCTGCAAAAATAACAAATGAGCGTTGAACTTTGGTTCTTTTCTCCATGCGGCCTTTACCCATAATTTAACGCGTCCATCACTTTGTGAACCCGCTCCTAATAGAATTTGAAATGATTTTTCGGGTCGTATGTTGTCATAGGAATACTACGGCAGCTAGCTGAGCTATTGATTAGAGAGCGAAGCCTAACAGCGGGCCCCGTCGTCTTTCCCTCTCAACCCCCGGCGAGGCAGCCGTTACGCTCTCGCTCGGGGGTCCCACCCGAGAGAGAGAGAAAGACGCTCTGCATATCCCGCTCCACTTTCTCTCCGCTCACTATGTGACTTCGCCCCAACTTCCTCGACATATGTCGCTGCCACGTCTAATATTTCATCGCTTGTTGACGCAAAAATAGAGCCTGCAAAGTTATTTTTGCAAAAAAGAGAGTGGTGGCGGCGCCATGAATTTCACATCGTCATTTTTTACAATGTGAATGTGACAGTAAAGTCATTATTGAGACACAGTAACCGGTTGATGTATGTGACAAGAATTCAGTCTTAAGACCTAGAACTCATTTTAAACTCCGTCTAAGGGAAGGAACGAAACGGAGTAGCATAATTTAGTGTTCTAGAAAAATATTCTAAATCTCTTTAATTTTGGCTATGACTACACTATAGAATATTATCATTTCAATTTTATTACTAGTTTATTATGAAAATACCTCAGATTCACAGTGTTTTTCGGGAACCATGCTGAAAGAAAGACATCTCCTCATATTGTGAGTGCCATTGTGTACTCCTCTAAAATTCTATTGAAGAAAATTTGGTGAGTTTGAAGTAAATCAGGAATAGTTATGATAGTAGCTGACAACCAAGTCCTAGAGTTTTGACGGTTAACGTTCGAGCAACTCCTCTGGGAGTTTCACTCCAACATAGCATCTCTTATCTTAGTTATTCTTGGCGCTTTCTACTTACCGGACCTCGCAAATTGCGCATAAAAGATTAATAGTACGCTATCTGCACCCTTATCTCTAGACACGATGTGCCTATTACGTCTTCTAGTCGGTTTTAGAGTGTCTACGTAGTTGTGTTGCGAACATCGCAGTTTTTAAGTAAGGCTCTAGCTGACTTTTTTGCAGTGTTGTGTCAGAAATTTCTCTACAAAGTATGCAAAATGGCCGCTAATAGTCTTTCTCAGTAGTTCTGCCTCAAAAATCGCTGCACAAGGGCTATCCTTCGAATTCTTTTCTGTTCGCATTAGCCGCATTTGATCTCTCGTATGGATCTCTAGGGTCAGATGTGCTATTCGTGGGGTATACGTCGTGGGTGATTTTTGATCCTCCAGTCTTTTGACGTAGGCAAGGACGCCGCAAAACCTCGGCTTCATCAATGACCATACCTCTTATTGTTAGTCATTGCGTTGCAGAAGCTCAATATCAGAAATTTTTTTTTGAAACTGTCCCATAATTCTTTTTTCAAGCAATAGTTTATAGTCCTTCCTTTGTTCTTCGGTCTTCCCCGATTCAAAAAGTTGACTATTAAGGCGAAGCTGTTAGAGTAAACAAACTATCTGGTTTTCTTTGCAAATGATCTTTATTGACAAGACAACATTATTACGGTAATTGAAGGGCAATGGATTGATTGAGCGCTCTTATTATTTTGTCCATGTGCTCTTATTGTTGGTCCTAATCCCAATGTTTTTTGATCTTCTTTCGAATTCCTGTTGATTACCTTTTCTTAAGGACAGCAAACGCAAGCTTTAGAAGGTCAAAATATAGCTATATATCATATAAAGGGACCTTTTCCTTTCCCGGCTTCTCGGTCCACTTTTGCCCATCTTCTGCCAAAGCAAAATCTGTGTTTTCGGAAGCGCATCGATTCCCGGATGTTCGTAATTTCCTCTCGAAGAGCTACTCGGCAGAGCAATGCAAGGCACACACACATTGCTCCTCCCGATAAAATTTTGTCGTCGTCATTCTTCGGGGCCGATCTCTATGCTCTCATTCTACGTCTGTTTACATACGCTGTCGCTGGCGCTCATCGTCACCCAGTCATCAGCTTCACTCACTAGCACTTAGTTTACGCAGTTGCTGCTTTTTTCTAATTGTTCGCGGATGGTTTTTGTCAATTTTGCAAGTTTTTGTGCACTGTAGCGGTCATTTTCCGGTCGGCGCTTCCTGAAAAAATTTCCTAGCTCTTTTCATTGTCTCTCGTTGGCAAATATAATTCTGATTGTAGTTTCATGGTTTTTTTATATTCTTATCTGTTTTGGTTTTTACAGAAAATGGGGAAGAAGGCCATCGACAAGGCGAACGATCTAAATGATCTCAAACAGGAGGTTAAAATGGTAAGCAGTAGTTATCTAAGTTGTATGAACTCTTGTTAGGTCTTGCTTTCTTAGGATGAGCATATCATCCCGATGGAGGAGCTGGCAGCGAGGTACGGCACTAACCTCGAGACGGTAAGTAATATTTACATATGTTTTGACTGATGACTTCCTCCCTTTGGGTGACTTCTATTTTTGTCCATGTTACTGGGTATATGTTTACTTAGTCTTCTTATCGGTGGTATCATTTTTGCTGGTACTGATCATTCATTCTACAGTTCTGATCGTTCATCTTTGTTTGGGAAAAGAACATTTTTTTGTGTGAGAATAGGATAAATTTTGCAAGTTCAGCAAAATCTTTTCTCTTTTCTACCTCTTTTCAGAAATCTGTTCCCACAATTTTGTATACTTCTTTTCTGTACATAAGCTACTTTTTCTGTGACTTTCAAGTTGCTTTATGATTCTGGTCTTTGAGTCAGGTTTTATATTATCATTATGTGTCGTTTGGCAAGAATTGGCGACATTGTGATCTCTCAAAAAGTGAAAGTTGCAGATAATTTGGTTCGCGACGTCCTTGAAATAAACTCATTGACGCGTAGTGCCCGATGGCTGTCAGGATAACGATGAGAACACAGAAATTGTGCGAAATGCGCAGTGTAATCGCCAGTTTCATCGCATCACACCTTACCCTGGTAGGGGGCGAATTCGCGACCGGTCGACAATCTCGGCATTTCAAAATGATGCCGCTTTTGACGTCAGAATTGATAGGGATTTGGATATTAGTGTCATCTGCGTTTTTTCTTTATATTTAGCGACCATGATTCTAAATTTGACCGCTCAAAAGGCTCAAACGGTTTAATTGATGAAGATAAGTCGCACCAATTGTCGGAAATGATTCTGAGACATAAGAACCGGTTCGCGGGTAAGGTGATAAAATTAGACCTGGGAGAAGAGAAATAATGGCTTTTGGTCCATAGAATTGCTAGAAGAAAAAGAAGTATCTTCTGCAACATTCCTTTGGTTGATTACGGTAAACTTCTAGCCCAACGGCAATCCTAGAATTTTTTTTCCGGGAGGGGGGCGGGGGCACTAAAAATGTCGAAGTTTTTGGGCTCGTGACCTCAAAATTTTGAGAGAGGGGACATGATCAAATTTTTGTGATTTTTTAGAATTTTTCAAAGTTCTGAAAATAATAAGAGTTAGCTGAGTAATGTTAATCATGTGGAAGTTTTCTAATAGTAGTATCGCGATCCTCCCCGTCATTACTTGGGAGTAAACACTGATATTCTGTCAAGTGGTAATCGGCTTGTTGGCGTGTTTATGTTACTCATCTTCTCACGAGCAATCACAATTAGTGTGATTAGACGTTTGATCTACAGGTTATCAAGCCAGTGAATGATTTCATTTTACAAAGCAAGGTCAGATCCAAAGCTATACAATAAGTGAGTAACGACGGCCTACCGGCTGATTTTGGGTGACATTATATGAGTACTTTGTCTTTGTCGAAGTCAGAGATTTGACAAAGCTTATTTTCTTATGCTTCGGTATAGCTCCGGCATTCGTTACGGATTCGTCTTAGGGACCGGCCATACTATTCCTGTGACTCCTGCAATTTCTGTGATTCCTGCGGGTCTCACAACTATATATATATTGCGAAAAAACAGTGTACACCGAAATTCGCAAACGCTACGTAGTGCGGCACATCGGAATTTGAGGAATCACAGGAATTGCAGGAATTACAGGAATCGCAGGAATCACCTCCTGGAATAGTATGGCCGGTCTTTTAAAGGCAGTGTCCAGGCTAAATCTAACCCTCTCCAATTAGTGCCAATCCCGAATGTAGGCCCCAGGAGAGGGACATCTGCGTTGGGTCCGGTCCTCTAATATTGTCTCTGAATGGAGATAATGGACCTGGAACAGCGAAAGTGCTTTCAAGCCACGCCCAGATGCTACCAAGCTCCGCCCACCCAGGTACTGAAAGTCGTATGCCTTCAGGACAGGGTCGCTATCGGTTATCTTGAAAGATTTAGACAGTCTTAACTTTATAACTGTAAGCAGGCCAGGAAAGGTTCCACAATGCCAAAAACATGGGAGGCAATTTAGGGTGGATGCTTTTCTTTAAGGAGGTGGATGCTTTTCTTTAAGGGACCGGCCATACTATTCCTGTGACTCCTGCAATTTCTGCGATTCCTGTGATTCCTGCGGGTCCCGTAACAATGTATAGGACAAAGGACATAATCGGCAAGAGCTAGAGAAAACCTTGTGCTGCAGTAGAGTTCTGCAAAATATCTTGTAGACTAAGCTTCATACTGTAAGACCAGTGGTTTTATTAGCACGAAGATTAACCTTCCACCAGTAGTGAAGACTCCCTGCAATAGATTTTCTTATTTTTCCATCAACTTTGGTTTTCGAAGGGGAGATGTTCTGCGACGCTTGTTGGATCTGAGGAATGCTATACGGATTGCCCAATCAACCAATCGCTCTAGGGAATACTGGGGAGTACTAAGACTAGCCATAAAACAACCAAATGTCGCTTCAGCATTGGACGAGTGTTTACCGCTTCTGAGCAGCGATTGAACCGACCGTACGCGTCACGCCTCTTTAGTATTATCAAGTCTAAAAAGCGAAAGGACCACTTTCTGCGAAGGGTTTTGGAATCAAAGGAGCAGTATTTTAAAACTTCGAAAATATCAGGCTCAAAACTTATAGATTTTAATATGGCTTCAATCAATGCTTGCAGAAATTTTTTCATTCCTTCCTGTCTTTGTTCATTTCAATGTATGGCTTTTCCAACTTGTCGAACTTCATATTCTTCCATCGCTGTTCCTCTGGTACATATTGTAGTCTATTGACAGCAAGAAGCAGTTTTAGCGAGTTCGATGATTCGTACTCTATCCTCCTTATTCTCTGGAATTTATCGCAAATATGTTCTCCTGCTGTTTGTCAAGAGAACTTGTTTTCCAGGGTCTGACTCGAGCCAAAGCTGCTGAGGTGTTGGCACGAGATGGACCTAATGCTCTATCCCCTCCAAAAACTACCCCAGAGTGGATCAAGTTCTGCAAAAATCTTTTCGGAGGTTTTGCTCTTCTTCTTTGGGTAGGCCATCTCATTATTTTCTTGATGAGAAGAATTATTCATATTTATTGCAGGTTGGAGCCTTCCTGTGCTACGTCGCCTATTCTGTCGATTTATTCACAATGGAATATCCATCTAAGGACAATGTAAGTGATATGGTCACCTCAAAATATTGCTTTCTATTCATCATGCTTCAGCTCTACCTCGGTATTGTACTGATGACTGTCGTAGTAATCACCGGTTGCTTCCAATACTATCAAGAAAGCAAATCTAGCAAGATCATGGACTCGTTCAAAAACATGGTCCCGACGGTAGGATTTGTTTGTGCAGACGTTCAAATTTTTTCTATTTTTTTTTACAAAATTTCAGTTTGCTCTTGTCCATCGTGACGGCCAGAAGCAACAACTTCGGACGGAAGAGCTTGTCGTTGGTGATATCGTCGAAGTGAAGGGTGGAGATCGTGTGCCAGCCGATATTAGAATCATCTCGGCCTTCGGTTTCAAGGTGAGACTTTTCAAAATTTTCGCCCATTGTTACTTGTTATTTTTTTTCTATGTCAGGTTGATAATTCTTCCCTCACCGGAGAATCGGAGCCCCAGTCACGATCGCCAGAATGCACCAATGAAAACCCTCTTGAAACCAAGAACGTAGCCTTCTTCTCCACTAACGCCGTAGAAGGAACCGCTAAGGGTATTGTCATCTACACTGGAGATAGAACTGTGAGTGAATTTCATTCCGCATTCCGCTTTATTCGAGTTAGTTTACTCGAAATCCTCTGTATAGGTCATGGGTAGAATTGCTCATCTTGCTTCCGGTCTTGATACGGGAATGACACCTATTGCTCGTGAAATTGAGCATTTTATCCATCTGATCACTGGCGTGGCCGTGTTCCTCGGAGTGTCCTTTTTCATCATCGCTTTCGTTCTCGGATATCACTGGCTGACAGCTGTTGTGTTCCTTATTGGTTAGTAGCTACCGTAATCCACTTGCCTATTGGCAGCATACCGTAATCTGTCTCCTGTTCTAGGTATCATTGTCGCCAATGTGCCTGAAGGTCTTATCGCTACTGTCACCGTATGTCTCACCTTGACAGCTAAGAGAATGGCTAGCAAGAACTGTTTGGTGAAGAATTTGGAAGCTGTAGAGACTCTGGGATCAACATCGACGATTTGCTCCGATAAGACCGGAACATTGACGCAGAACAGAATGACTGTTGCTCATATGTGGTAAGCTATACTGTTGTATGACGTGCCTTCTTGTGATGGGAGGGGGGAGGGGGGAAGAGAGAGAGGGAGCAATCAGTGATTAATTTTTTTTTCTTTCTAAAATAAACCTGATTTCTGATTTTTGTTTCCATATTAGCCACTCTCATTAACGGTTATTTTTTGCCTACCCCTTCAAAGCCGGTCAATTTGTCTGACGATGTAATTATCTTCCTTTTTATATACGGGGTAATCTTTTGCACTTCTATTGCTCATATACTTTAATGCAGGCTCGAAAGTGTGTGTTATCACGTCTAGAAGTCCCTTTTTTTGTTTGATTTGATTTTTTCATATCGAGCCAATGTTAGATTTCTCAAAATCTTTTTTTCCACTGCAGGTACGACAGAAATATCGAAGAATGTGATACCACTGAAAATCAGTCCGCCAATACAGGTAATCGGGGTGGTCCAACCATGGATGCTCTTTTGAGGATTGCTGCTCTCTGCAACAGGTAATGCATATGATTATCTGTCAAGGCGGTCAGAAAGAGAAAACAATAGCTTTCAACTTTTCATAAAATTAAACTAGCCACCCCATGCAATTTTCAAAAAATTTTCAGTTATAAGTTTGTGAGAATTCATTCTTGTAACTTTTGGGCCCTTCAGTGTTTTCTTATCGCGACTTTTTACAAAATGCCTGGGACCGGCCTACAAATTTTCACATCCTCGAAGTATTTGCAGTTATTTGGTTGTTTATATAGCTTTTTTCAGAGCTGAGTTCAAGCCTGGCCAGCAAGATATCCCAGTGCTTCGTCGAGATTGCACTGGTGACGCATCCGAGATCGCTCTGCTCAAGTTCACCGAGCTCGCACTGGGAAATGTCATTGCATACAGAGAGAAATCACCAAAAATTGCAGAAATTCCATTCAATTCCACCAACAAGTACCAAGTGAGATTGTTAAAATATTATGTGGAGGCGCTACTATTTTTGTATTGTTCAGGTTTCCATTCATGAGAACCCTGGCAGCGATTCCTATCTCCTCGTAATGAAAGGAGCTCCAGAGAGAATTCTTGATGGTAATAGTGTTTTTTGTTTTATGGGACTACGAAAAACTTGTTACTAGCTTATTTGATTTTTTTTTGCTCTTTTTTGTTTGTATACAACAGCTGAATCATTATAGCAAGGCCGCGATGGTGCAAAAAAGCATTCTGGACTATACGTTCTCTGGTCATGAATCCTGCGATCGTTAGACCGAATAAAGAATTTAACAAATCTGCGTGGCTTACAACATATCTCATTATGGAATTTGTTTATGGGTCAGAGGGTCATTGCGGAGCTTCGCTTTTTGAAGAAGTTGTTCTTTTACGGTGAACGATGCATGCTTCAGTAGTCCCAGGAAATTTCTAGAGCAGGAATGGATGACAGATTTCAAAATGGGTGTGATATTATTTACGCCCACAAATAAAACTTGAGATTCACAATTTTTGCGTGCTGCCAACCCTGAAATAAAAATGAAGCGGAGGCAGCCAGTCCTCGGAAATTTCTATAGAGTCAGCTTGATTTCAAAGTACCCAAATTTCACGAGTATAGGACGCGGGCGATTTTTTTTCTGAAATCGAACAGCACAGACACGCCGAAGGATTTCGCGACTAAAAAACTATATACAGTGCTGCATATTGCCTGAGAGTATCGTGCAGCATAAGACTCGTTTTCCGAAATACAGCGAGGCGGCTGAGCGGCTCGCTTAAAAAATGGAAAAAGGTGCGTCCTAATCGTGAAATTAGGGTACTTGAAATTTTGATTATTTATACTTGAAAAACAAATTAGCTGCGGAATTTCTAACTCATGTACTTTTGATGATCACCTCCCACTGGACTTTTTCTTCATACATTTCAAAACTTTGGAATCTTGATGTTTGAGAGAGTGTACTAATTTTAGTATTGCATTTCAGTCTGCTCGACCATACTTCTCAATGGCAAAGAGGAACCGCTAGATGAGAAACTTCGTGCTGAATTCAACACCGCCTATCTGGAACTTGGAGGAATGGGAGAACGTGTGCTCGGGTAAGCGGCAAAATTTTGTCGCTGTAGAACTTGTGGTTCACACCGCTGTATATGTTGCTTCAGATTCTGCGACTACGAGTTGCCGGCCGACCAATACCCCAAAGGCTTCAAATTCGACACCGAAGATGTAAACTTTCCTCTAAAGGACCTTCGCTTCGTCGGCCTCACGTCCATGATTGATCCACCTCGTGCTGCTGTACCAGATGCTGTTGCGAAATGCAGATCTGCTGGTATAAAAGTCGTTATGGTCACAGGAGATCACCCAATTACTGCCAAAGCCATTGCCAAGTCTGTTGGAATCATCAGCGAGGGTACTGAAACCGTTGAAGACATCGCCATTCGTCGAGGGGTACCTGTGGAGGATGTAGATCCAAATGAGGCCAAAGCAGCTGTGGTACATGGTACCGATTTGAGGGAAATGAACGAGGATCAGCTGGCTGATGTGAGTGATCCTGAAAATTCTTATAGGGAAAAAGCGAATATTGATTCTTATTTCAGATCATTCGCAATCACTCCGAAATTGTGTTTGCGCGTACATCACCTCAGCAGAAGCTGATGATCGTTGAAGGTTTCCAGAGACAAGGACAAATTGTAGCTGTCACTGGTGATGGTGTCAACGACTCCCCAGCTTTGAAGAAGGCTGACATCGGTTGGTAATTTTAGTATAGGTCATGTTGTTCCAAATGGATTGTTGCTTCGGAAAGTGTTTGCCTGTAACAGAAATATTTATATGTTTTTTTGGTGCTAATCCTCTCAGCGAAGCACAGAAAGTCAAAATAACAGGTTATTTGGCCCTCTGATTACCGTATCGTGTTGGCTCCGTGCAGTTCCTTTTTTGATTTCGCTGTTTATATGGTGGGTTTCTCGCGATCCCAAATTTGCTCAAAACAGGGTCCAGGGGTTCCTCAGCATGCTGATTGCGATTATGATATCGATAGGTTCGGGAGAGATTTTTTAGTGAGGCTGCGAATGGTAATATGGTGTGTCACCCCCCCCCCCCCCCCCCTAATAGCACGAGGAAATCCTTCATGCACAACCGAAGTCGTAATTGTAGTCGGCATGCCGAAAAACACAACAGTCAAAGTTTTGCTCAATTTCGGAAATTAGGCTCACCTACCGTAATCGCAGAACGTGATGACGCTATCGTGCAAAATCACTATTGTGATCGGCGTGCTATAACTTCTTTGAGCAGAATTTTAGCGAAATTCTTGGTTTTGAGTTTTTGCGTTCCATCAAGTGAAGTGGCCTGTTTTGAGAAAGACAGAGATTCAGATCCTTTTTTTAGAGCAGTGCTAGCTGTCCCAAATTTCTGTTGATATATTTCAGGTGTTGCTATGGGTATCGCTGGATCTGATGTCTCCAAACAAGCTGCTGATATGATCCTCCTTGATGACAACTTCGCCTCGATTGTCGTAGGAGTGGAAGAAGGACGTCTCATCTTCGATAATCTCAAAAAATCGATTGCCTATACACTCACCTCAAACATCCCCGAAATCTCACCCTTCCTCACTTACATCCTCTTCGGTATCCCACTACCACTTGGAACTGTCACCATCCTCTGTATTGACCTGGGAACTGACATGGTGCCAGCTATCTCGCTCGCCTATGAGGAAGCCGAATCCGATATCATGAAGCGACAACCTCGTGATCCGATTCGTGACAAACTTGTGAATGAACGTCTGATTTCGTTGGCATATGGACAGATCGGTATGATCCAGGTAAGCTTTGAGGTGGATTGAGTTTTAGTGAATCTTCAACTGCACCTGATGTGCTTTAGGCATCAGCCGGCTTCTTCACCTACTTTTGGATCATGGCTGATAACGGATTCTGGCCTCAGGATCTCTACCAAATTCGAGCCCAGTGGGACTCCCGTGCCTACAACAATGTCTTGGACTCATATGGACAAGAATGGGTAAGTACAACCACCTCTTTTATCGTGTAACCATCTTCTTTTTTGGAGAAGTTGGTTTTGACATTAAATGTGTCTGTACTTATAAGGGAATGATACGGAATGTATATATCGTGAAACGCATCGCTGATTCCGAATGTTTTCACTGTCTGCCAAGAGCTTCCGAGAAAGGAACTAGAGAATATTTGGCTTAAAAATTCGAATTCGCGGCCACTATAAAATCATCCAGAACTGTATCCGCAAGTTTAATGTGGTTATGGTGACCGTCAGAAAATTTCATGCAATGAGGACTTTCAGTCTCACATACTCATGCTTATCACTACTTCTTTTGGGAAGACCTCAAACTGTTTTTATTCTTGCCGTGAATCCAAATTTTTGATCCAAAAACTTCTCGTAATTCTTCTTTAAGAGGCGCTTGGCAGATACCGAATACATAATCAGTTCAGCATTCTATGCTCTTCAAAATGGTTTAGATATCATATGGGAAGGCCACTTTGACTAAGTTCCTTTTCTTGTTATAGAAATTCATTTTTTTAGTTATTATCAGGTTGTAAATAATGTCGTTTTTTTCGTGTTTTTTCGTGTAAAATTGATATTACTCGAGAACTAGAGCATATCCTTTTTCGTTTAAAATTGATATTACTCGAGAACTAGAGCATATCCAAGGCCGAAATTTTGTGATCAAAGTTACGAAGGTTTGTAGTATACAAAGGCGTGGGAGGAGCCCAGTACTACTGGGGGCGGAGTCTGGCATTTTGCATTTTTCAATTTTTTCTTGGTTTCCAAGCATGGAAAAATTATAGCACATGTACCTATGGATAAGTACCATTTTGCATTTTTCAATTTTTTCTTGGTTTCCAAGCATGGAAATTTATAGCAAGTGTACCTATGGATAAGTACATGTGTCTTTAAAAGCAGGAGCAAGTGAGAGGGTCGCAGGATTTTTTAGAGTGAAAATCCAATTCTTGGCACCACGAGTTGCTCGTATGTTTTGGCTCTGAACTTTGCGTAAACAACAAGTTCTGCCAATGTTCGGATGTCATCTTGTAGAGCTTGCTTTGCTCTATCGAACGGTACCACTTATATAGTTTTCTAGATTTGTCATAGGGCTTTGTTATGAAAAACGACATTATTTTCTTTACAACCTAATACTTTGAGATCTAGTGATTAGAATTGATATTTTAAATAGAAATGTGCTGTTTTGGAAAGCGTCCTTGATTTCAAGTTTTAAAATGCATCTGATTTATGCGGAATATGACCCATTTCTAAAGCATGCTGTTTTCAGACTTATGCCAACCGCAAAATCTTGGAATACACGTGCCAAACCGCTTATTTCGTGTCCATTGTGGTTGTGCAATGGGCTGATTTGATCATCTCAAAAACTCGTCGTAACTCCATTGTTCAACAGGTATCCCATTTACAATCCTATGGTTACTGTACCGAAAAAATGTTGATCCCTAGGGTATGACCAATTGGACTCTCAACTTTGGACTTGTGTTCGAGACAGCTCTTGCCTGGTTTATGTGCTATTGCCCAGGCTTGGACAATGGTCTACGTATGTATGGATTGAGGTAAGTAGAGAATTCATTTATTTTGTTACATACGGTTTTTTTGAGAAGTATATTTGTTCTGCTATAATCCGTTTTGAACTATAAGGATTCGTTTGCTTTCTTTCAAGGTTCTCGTGGTGGTTCTGTGCTCTACCCTTTTCGGTTCTGATCTTCGTGTATGACGAAGTCCGTCGTTATTGCATCCGAAGATGGCCTGGAGGATGGGTGGAACGCGAGACTTACTATTAAACTTGTGCTAGTTTGCTTTGCAGAATTCTTTAGTAAGTTATCTTCCGTAGGAATAATCTCTCATCTGACCTCGAGGTGATGCCTGCAAAAAACTGCTTCTCAATATGATCCTCGTAAAATTCAGCCTTATTATAGTAATATATCTGCCTCGTACGTAGTCATATACATCTTACTTACCCTCTTATGTTAAATAGTTCAGAACACTCTGTGAATGTGAAGTTATAATTTTTTTGCATGTTTAGTAGGTTTAGTTTTGTTGATAGTGTATGTGCTCGCTGTTAAAATAGACTAGGATTTAGTTATGAAGAAAAAGCAATGCTTACGTTCTCATATTTGGTCACGTTGTACTTTCATTCTGGAATTTTATCATCGGTGTAACATAGACATTATTAACCTGTGAGTATGTAGCGCTGCTAATAAATTTATATTTCGGCTTTAGATTTTTGAACGCACATAAATACCCCAAATAAACACAGCCTATAATCTTCTTCGTTTCTCACAGTTTGCAACACATTGCCAGCCCGTTTTTTCGCTTTCTAGTGGTCCGGATCAAAGCATTCTTGCACTGTCAAAATCACGACTCACCGACTGGTTATTGTGCCCAAAGTGATGTGTACGAGCTTGTAATCTTAGTTGTAAAGGCTAGCATTTGGCTGAAGGTGCCGGTCAAGAGGATGGGATCCAGTTTGCACGGCCTTATGTTAGATGGTAGCCATACTAAGGAGCAGAAATCGGCACAAGCTGGAATAAAAGAGTTTTTGAAATGAAGTGTTCGAATTTCCAAAATTTTTATGAAGTCCCTTTGACATTTTTAGAGCCCCATCACTCCTTGCTGTGTGTGTTTTCTTTTGTATTTGGATTGTGTTCCAACGAAAATGGTATGAAAACCGAAAAATACCTAAAAATACCTACATACTGATTACGTTTTCATAAGCAATTTAGTAGTGCCGGGCCTTTCAAAGCAATCATTTGACACCAGAATCAATATTTGTAAATCTCCAGATTCTGATTGCTCCAGCAGCAAATCCGCTGGTTTTGAAGTTCCTTCCTCCCATGAGTTTTAGAGCACAATATTAGCAGCGATTGTTTCACTATAATTTTTCTTCAAAATGCTTGAGCTCACGTTCTCTAAACATTCAGAGCAAAGCTTGGCTATAACAATTGCAACAAATTTGAACTTCGGTGGCTTGGAAACTCGAAGACAATGCAAGTCAACTACTTCTACGTCTTCTTAGTAGGCGTCGTTTCCCTTCTAAGAAATATAAGTAAAATAGAGAGAAGGCGAACAAAAATCTCAAAAAGAATCAGTTAGATTAGGATCTATATCATATGCCTCATATGCCTATCAGGTTCGAACTAAAGTTTTTTCCCCGACATTTTCTAAAAATCTGCGTCCTTGCTTGAGCCAACAAAGGACAGAAATCATGCACTTTTTTACTGAATCTTCAACGATTATCGTTAGCATTTAGAAACACAAGCTGGTAAGAAAACGCTTGGAACACAGTATTACGCAATTTGTCACAAAAATCTGATTTCAGTTTGTTTTGTCTTGACATGTTCTGATTCGTGCGACCAGAAGCATTTACGAACAGTAAGGATTCCCGAATTCTAATCTGATTTTTTGTGTGAGTAAAATCACCTGCGTTAAACATCTATTATTTATTTATTTATTTATTTATTTGTCTTTCAAAGAATGTTGCAAAATGCGCCACTCACTCGCGGTGTTCTGTACATCAAAGTGGTTTTGCATGCTTCTGTACTTAGACTCTTCTCATCTTCTCTCAGCACCCGGCCTCGGATTTCGATTGAATTCTTTTTTTCCGCAAAAATTAAAAGCCTCTTCCTCTTTCACACGTGTGATTCATTCACCCCGCCCATCCAGTGCTGGATCAAGTTGCTCAAACTCTGAATTATCATCCAAGAGTCAGTCTTACAGAGTTCCGTATTCTAATTCCAGGAAAGGGGAATGAAGCATTGTAATATTTACTTTCGCTGCCTCAGTCAAGGCGCATGCGTTCGAGCATTTTCGAAAACGAGTTCTATGACATCGCACAATTATTTCCTTTCCTCCTTTGAAGTCACTTTTGCTCACTAAATGAATCAAGACTAAATCAAACACAGTAACAAATTAGCCATTTTTCGTAGAGCTGTGCTATAACAAAAGTTTAGCAGGAAAAAATTCAAAAGCAATCATTAGCTTGTTAAGGTCACAAAAAGCATTCATATCAAAGGCAAAATTTCTCTGCGCCTCTACCTGCAACAGCAAATCGCATGTAGAAAAGAGAAATGACTAGAAGTTTCAATTAGCTCGCGGCTTCTCTTAACACTCGCTCAGTCGTGAACTGGAGCACAATATCTACGAGAGCGTACTATTTTAGACCTAGGCCCAGATTAAGGGAAGGCAATGGTTTGATCCGCACTCTTCACTAAGTGATAGCTTTTGCTCGTTCAAGTTGTGCAAGCCAAAAGGGCTAAAACTTAAGCGAACTCTACGATATTATGCTCTGAACTAACTCAGTTGTTCGGGTAATGGTCTAGAAATCAAAACCGAGAAGGGCAGTGGTAGTCGCGATTTCCGTCCGAGTGACGGGGGGAGGGGGGGGGGGAAGAGCGGAAATAGGGGCGACAAGGTGGATTGAAGGTGCATGACATTAATCAAGCACTCGAAAAGGTTTTTTTGATGTTTTTTCAAGATCCTTACCACTCCACTCCCCAGCATTTTCGAAAAAAAGGGCGTAGCCAAAATTTTGACAAGACTAATTTAAATTTTCAAAACTATGTGAATTATATCAATTATTTTTGAGTAAAAACAAGTCACATGCTCATGTTTATAATTCACGTATTTTCGAGATTTTCAAGACCATCCTCGAAGGGAGGGGGGGGGGGAGAGGGGCCCTTCCCCAACTCGGTACGCTATATGTGCACAAAAACGGTACAAATTTGATGTAACGCGTTCACTTATGCGCCGTGAACAGGTCGTTTATTTCAGCATTCCTTCAATCTCGCGCTTTTGTGAGTTTGTACACGTCGGAGCATGTCCGTCATGTTGCAACTTGAAGTGAAGAAGGTGAGCATGTCGACGTATTCAAGACGCACAACGTCTACTTTCAATAGTTCTACCCACCGTCGTCGCTTTAGCTGTGGACCGCGGCAGACGTCACGGACTTGACATAATTAAGCGTAGCGTTCGCTTTAAGAAAACCCTGTGATGCTTGTTCCCACACGAGAGTAACTGTAGTTCATGCTGAATGTGTCAGCATTAAGAATCATGAACGCCACTGATTCATCTGTCCTAGGTTTTGGAGCAGTCATAATCAGTCTATCCTCAAAAACGAAGGGCAGGGAGTAATGGCACTTTTGTCTATACTTTTTGAATTTTGATAGATGATTGCTATGAACAATCACGTAATTGCTCTATAGTTTGATAATATAAAAAGATGGAATCAGTTACATATATCTTTCTATGCTTCCTTTGAATAATGGTAAACACGCTCTAAGCATGACAGAATCTAGTGTAAAATAGGCGTTTGGACAAAAGTGAGAAAAGAACGAATCTAATTTTGGTGAGTCTTTTGGCATACATAGCAAAGTCCTTCCTCGGTAGAAACTGATTTCAAAATTGAATACAAATCAGACTTTTCAAAAGACTTTTTTAATCTGCTTCGTTCCTATTGATTATTTTTGTGACTTACTTGATGCTAGAAGAACAAACTTGTTTAATGTCAATCACACTGAATTACGATTGCTCATGCCTTAAAAATTTTATTGAGGTCAGTTTTGGGTGAATGCATCGTCGCTGAAGAAAAGTGCCGGAAATTCGATTTCGATCAAAGACAGCTATGCTGTACTTGATATTTTCGTAGATTCTCTCGTCATCAAATATGTTGAAAATTCGAAAAGTATGGTCAAGAGTGACACTTTTCTCACTTTGCTTTTTGTTTTGAAGATGGGCTGACTACACCCGCATGACTTTTATGACACTGCTAGGCATGCATGTAGTAGAAATATGTAGATATCTCAAGATATCGAAATCTCCGATGAACCACTACTGCTCGCGAGCTGAGGTTCATCGAAGACCCACAACTTGTGCAAAGCATCTATCTTGTCGGAAACATTTCCAGCAGTGCTATAGTAGATCCTAGGTCCAATTTCAGAACGTTCCTAACAAGTTCTTCCTAAAAAGATAGACGACTTTGAAAACAAGATTGATTCGCAGGATACAAGTCTAGCCAGTCACACGGTACATTTGGGTAGAACTTGCTACCTGCTGGCCAGACCTCTGTAGTTAGTAAGAATGGTGTTCAAAAAAGGCCAAAGCAAAAGGAATCACATCAAATAATGTAGTGTAGTAACACCGTTTCATTTAAGTGAATGCACAGGAACGCCAGTAACTTATCAACAACTAGCTTGCTTACCCGGCTTCGCTCGGCCCTTTCAAAACACGTAATAAAAGTCCCATCCCTTCCCCTGTACAGCCTTTGCCTACGCCCACTTCTACACTTCATTTCCCGTTCCCTGTGTTGTTTTCGAAATCAGCATGCTCACTTACCCCCTGCGCCAACATCCCAGCCCTTCAGCTCAAATTTTGAGAAAATCGATAAAACCGATAAAAGTAATAGGTAATACCAAAAACTAATATTGTATTCGTAGTCAGCATGCTCGATTACATCCCTGTGCCAACCCCAAGCCCCGTAGCTCAAACTTTGCAAAAAAATCGAAAAAATCGATAAAAGTAATAGATAATACCAAAAACTAATATTGTTTGGAATCGCCATGCTCACTTACCCCCCTCTACCAACTCTCAGCCCTGTAGCTCAAACTTTGCAAAAAAATCGAAAAAATCGATAAAAGTAATAGATAATACCAAAAACTAATATTGTTTGGAATCGCCATGCTCACTTACCCCCCTCTACCAACTCTCAGCCCTGTAGCTCAAACTTTGCAAAAAATCAATAAAAATCCATAAAATCGATATCGATCGATAACGAAAAGTATTAGCTTTCAGGAGCTAATTGCTCAAAGAATTTTCAATGTGGAAAAAAGTGGGCAATGGGAGCTAATTTAATTTTGCGAAAGACTAGCTCTTGTAAGAAGCTAAAATCTACTGCTGCACTTTCAAAGGTTTGTAATGCGAATTACTAGTGAACAGCTGAGGAATTCTTTGAGCATGAAAATTTTTGAATATCGATCCCATCCGGAAAAATACAGGAAGAATATACAGGGGTGTCTTAAAAATGTGGACGCTTTTTGTTCTTTAGTATCTCTCTTGTTAGATATCTTTCGTCGAGCTTGAGGAATCATTCTGTAGAGCGAGGTTCAACCTAGATTTACAGTATGGAACGAATCACCAAACACTGTTTATTACTGTAGTATTGCGGTGTGAACTTTCAGCATAGAACTGTTTTCACAGGTTGTAATCTGTATAAAGCCCAA